ACACCCACACCCACCCACACCCCCCCCCACCCACACCCACACCCACCCACACCCACACCCACACCCACCCACACCCACACCCACACCCCACACCCACACCCTATGTATATTGTCAAAGTCATTACTAAAGTAAAAAAGAAAGTTTTTATAAAAGTAAGGAGGGTGTGGGTGGTAGTATGTGTGGGAAGGGGCGGCTGTGAGAGTTCTTTTTCCTGAAGAGAAAATCCACAGCTCATACGTAGAACGACACCCATTAACTTTCACCCACACCCACACCCCACAATTTACGGATTAGGTTTTTGCTAAATTCTGACAGGAAAAATTCAAGACTATATAGAAATACGATTACCGGAGAGTCGCGTATATGAGATATTATCGGTAAGCAGGAAAGAAAGAATGTAGTTTATATATTTATTGAGAAAGGAATGAATTCGGTACCGGGAAAAGAGATCGTTCTTCTTGAAAGCATTCTCTAGTAATATTGGATAGAAAATGTAAGTAATTCAGTTCAGCAAAAAAGATGCAGAATATCCATAATTGTGTCGAATTCTATCGAATTCGAGAATTAATGCTGATCGCCGATTTTGACCTAATTCAATGTCAACAAAAGTGTCATTCTCATAAACTCGGATCGAAGTTATTTGTCCAGGTGGTGCTGTAACAATACAACTGCTGGAGAGCGCAATCGATACAATGAGTAAACAAAGCGTGTTTTCATTGAAACCTGTTGAATTGCCATACAGTTTAAGAAAAGGAATGATGGGTAACGTAAAATCACGATAAAAGAGTGTATCCTGTTGAGATAGTCGTAAAATGAGTTCTAAAGTTTCATCATCAATATTAATTAAAGCAGATGGAGCGATCAATAGTGGCCATGTGTCTTCATCACATAACGTTGTTTGACGATTCAATTTGGCGTAAGAAGAATAATCATGTAAAATTCTTCGAAATTCTTCTGGTATCGTAATCGATTCGCGTCGTTTGGCTTTATCCTGAGCTTCCTTTATGAATTTCTGTATTTTGATCTGTTTGTCAAAAACTGGCGGAGGGAATAAATCGGTATTGATCTGTAATGATTTAAGATTGCGTTCAATGGGTCCATTCTTGATTAGTAGATATAGTGTTTGCACATTTTCTGGAATTGTGTCATAAATGTTTCTGAGGACAGTAATATTCATCTCTGACCACAAGTCAGATGCGAAGTAACGACGATTTGATGAAGTTTTTTCGAGCAAATCGTTTTTCCATGCTTTTAACCAGACTTCCTTATCAATCACATAAGCGAACCAGTCGAATATATATGTATTGCCATAGTCATGTGGTCGACGATCTTCCTTCAATATCCATTCTTGTATGGCATCTATGGTTCTCTTATTAATCTTATTTTTATCGTCAAAAGTAAAGCTACCGCTTCCATAAGGAAACCACGCCCTAATACGAGAAAAATGTCGAAGTCCGATTAAATCACGTGGCTCACAATCAACGGCTGACCAAAATTTATCGGTACACGAACTTGAGCGATCTAAACCGAAAAAGTAGTCAAATGTATCTCGCATGCAACGATTATATTTTTCCTCGGTAATGAACTTCACTACATCATCTTGTTCTGCTGAATAGACCGATGTCAATACTCGTCTCATATAGCGAGCACAGAGATATTCTTGAAAACTACGATGGATAAAATAGTAGATACGTTCGACAAGTACAGGTGTATGATCTCGCGACTTTTGTTTAAGTAGACCAAGCTGAAGCAATGGCAAAAATAGTGCACCTGTTACATTTGAAATTTGATGACCAGTAATGGCGAATTCATGCGATTGTGTTGCTACGAATGCCAGACATTCTAAATAGGTAAATACTTTTGCGCTCGAATGTTGAAACACATCACATCCAGCTAGAGCAGACGTGCATAGACCATGAAATTTCAGTAGATATCTTCGTAAAAGATATTCGCATATTTTCTCATATAGATGTCCTATTGTCATTCCGACGTTTGAATCGATCTTACCACTATCCCACAAAATACAAATCAATTGAAGGTATACAGGAATATGTGCTGCTTTTTTCAATTGATCTGAATACTTTATGAATAACCAACATTTATCAGCGGCAGTATGCTTAAATTTTGAAAAGTATTGATAGATATAATTTTTTATATCGTCATTTGTAAAACTTTGAATATGAACTTTGACATCGTAGTGGCACTTGTTTGTTCCATACAGTCGAGATGTTAGAAGAAGATTTTGTTTATCTAACAGTTCTTGCTCAATCGCAAGTAAATGATCTGGAATAGTTCGTTCATCGCATCCATCAAGAATCCATAAGATATTCGATGAGCATGCGAATATAGATTCTAATTTGCATTTTTCAAGATCGAGAAGTTTATATCCTCGAAAACATTCTTGCACAATAACATCAACCAATGAATAATTCATGGTCGTCCATAAATGACGTTATTTTCGAAAGCAAAGGTAAGTTTAAAAAGCAATGAAATAATCATGCAAAACTGTTTTTCAGAACCGAAAAGCTGAATATTGTCAGGGTTCATATCACTCTGTTGCTATTGTTGGAAACTTTCGAACTACCGCATGCTGTTTATCATTGAAATCAGACAATCGATAGTAAACATGCCGTTACTTAATAAGGAGAATCTGTCAGACAATCGTTCAGCAGTAAGCATGCACTGCTCTCTAAACTCTTGTTTAATGTTTAGATTCAGACTTGGATATTTCTGAACGTCGTTTATTTCTTATTTAGGATGTTTGTAACCCTTCAGTTTTTCTATGATATAATTCCACTGAATGTAGATTTACCATAGCCGACTCCATAATCCTTTCTATTGACGTACTTCTACTTTTCTTTATTAATTAAGTAAAAACGACAGCTTTCAAGCTCTAATCCACACTCAAACCACACTCATTCAACCTGAAGATTAGTGTTTGGTGCAAATCTACAGAAAAGTGTGTCTATCAGTATTTTGTCATTGACAGGAAGACTTTTTGACTACTATGATGCCACCTTTAATATAATTGCAACATAGAGATGCATCAATTGATGCAGAAAAAAGTTTTAGTTTTTCTTGCTTTTACCTGACGACAATGAGCGTAAATTAAAATTTCAAACTTTTACGTTCGATGCTTAATGGTGAAGAAATAAGGTCGAGCATCGATCAAAGAGCAATGTTATATAGCAAAAAAAAAATGATATGCATGAAAGTAAGAAAAATTCAGTAGCATAGCATTAACTGTCAAAAACAGAGAAGCTTCTGAATGATTGTCGGATGGAGGAAATATCCGATCTAAATGCATAGAAAGAAAGGTATTTTGATCTTAACAGTATGTATGAGCTTGAGATTTAAAATATATAAAGTATTGTGCCGAAAAGCCTCTCGAGGTGATAACATTTCTGAACGATTACTTGCTTGATCGTAGTGGATAGAGCTTTGAATTTAAATTGCGCATTCTAATATAGAACAACCAGTCGAATCGGCTTTGCCATAATTTTCCACAAGCCCAAGAATACGCTGTATATTGACAGACTGTCGTCTTACCGGAGCCGGCTTCTCCGAGTACTAGAACGCGAGGTTCACTAAAGAGGTTTCTAAGTTGAACGATTCTATTTTCTTCTTTGAATCGTAGATCAATAAATCTTTCTATTAATGGACGCGAGCACTCTTCATTCATAATATTCGAAAGTAGTCGACAATGTTGTTTATAACTTGATTTGAGTTTCTCTTGAAGAGTAGCATTTGGTGCCAACGGTAGTCTGTTCAAGTCATCTAATCTAACAAATCGAGTGAACCGATCCGGAGAACCATTGACACGACATTCAGAGTCCATTTCACATTGGTTGACCAGTTGATTAGCAGCGTTTTTTTCCTGTAGAAATAGTTTTTCGCAAAGTTTCTGTTGTTTACCAAAACGTATCCGTAAACCTGGCTCAAAACATTTGACAAAACAATTGGTAGCTGCTTGTTCGACAAAACTCAATACATTTTCTTCTTGTCTTCGATCGAGTTGCTTAATTATTTTTTTAGAATCATAGATCAAAGGAATTGCAATATCTGGTGTTAAATCTCGTTTCACACTATCGATTAACATAATAATATAGGTGGTAATACTATCATTCAAATTGTCAACATTCAATCGACCCAGCACTTTAGGTCGAATTCGATGAGTGCTTGCTGTGGAAGAATCGATCTCATGCATATCTGGCGGATTAAATCGACTAGGATTGTCAACGCGAATACTGATGCGAGTCTGATCAACTCGTCGAAATGAAACACAAACAGCATGATAACGCCAACCAGTTGGAATAGTATATTCTTGTTGTGGTCGGAGTTGCTCGATTTTGTTTATGACGTTTTCCGCAATACTTCGATAGAATTTCATTAATAATGGTTGCGATGATTCTATCTGCTGAAACCGTTGCCGATTCATGTCGTCAGTGATCCGTACGGGAATTTGCAGAATATCATGAAGAAGATAGTATACTTCTAAATTGTGTAACAGTTCACTTTCAATAGTAGAGAATGTTTCAGATTCAGATGTCATTGAAGCATTGATTTTCATGTCAACTATCCATTGAAAAAGAGCGTAGATACGCACTTGAAGAAACATATCGTGTGTCGATCCAATGCTCAAATTTTGTCCACGTAATTTGGCTTCATCGTAATCGAAAAGGGCTGCAATAATAATATGAATTTCTTGTACTGGATATCGACTAATACGATTGTGAAGAAGACGACAAACAGTGAATTCAAACAACAATTCATTTTCCTCGTTGTTCGATAATTGATAATGATTGCAAAAAAATGTTAAATGTTTTTCAAGTTGTACTTTGGTTGGACTATTACGCTTTTTATATAGAAGATTAAGTGTACCATATCGGTAAGTAGCTTTTTTAGCAGCCAACTGAATAGGAGAGACAAAATTTAACGTAGTCAAATCAAAATGTGATAAATTACAATCGATGTCGTCTTCAAGCAATTTTGTAATCTTACTTAGAGACGATTCTCCAACGATAGCATCATATAAACGCGTTTCGATGGTCCCAGTCATTGGACAGCAATGCTTCTTTTTATTTTATGCTTCTAGTGAGTGTGTTGCTCGATAAAACACGTGTAGTTGTATACTTCACATTTCTAACGACATTTTACGACTTCTCTTATTTCTGTTCTGTTTCTTTTTCTGTTGATTCCGCGAGCACCTATTTATCGGTGGGTTCTTTTTTGTTCTCTGTTTTCTTTTATTGATTTTTAATGCAAATTTAAATATAAGAAAATGAAAATTGCCATTCTCTTTTCTTTTTTCTGATATTGAAGATGCGGGTTCTGAGTGTAGCTGTGGTTGGGGTTTCAGAGTTGGGAGAGGGCGTACGTGTCGCTCTGTTTCTAGGAGTATGGCATCTGTTTAACATATATTCACACTCAGACTCAAAACTAGATCACTAATTGATACAATCAAGTCTCTTGCTCATCTGTTTGTCACAGAAGAACAAGAAAAAAAAAGAATCACGCTTTCAAATCAGATTTATCAGACTCATCGCCAGACGAACATTAGGTTATGTTTTATTTGTCTCTTTTTTCATATTAATCTCACTTTCTTCTTATTAGGAACATGAGTCACTCATATTCAAGCACACCTTGATTGTAAACTATGATGTATATGTTCCAGCAAAATTAGCTCTTAGCACTCACATGTATCCCATATTAATATTGCTTCGTAACAGCTTACGAAAGCCTTATTGGAAAAATTCCGGTCACCTCCAATGTGCTCTCTTCTGGTGGAGAGAACTGAAAGAGTATTGTAAGGATGACGGAGTTATTTTTTTTGTTTGTTACAAGTTGCTGAAAGTTGAAATTTAAATTTAAATTGTTTCAATTAAAGTTAAAATTTTTCAGTTGAATTCAAATTTCAAATTTGACACTACTGTACTTAATGAACAGCGTCAAGTTTTTTCAGCATCATAAAAATCCATAAATTAGTAATATCCAAATGCTGAAAGTATCATGTAAAGGTTGAAATGGGTTCATCATGATTAAATTTTACTGATAACTGTGAGCGTTTGATATGAACATATAAGAGAAAGGCTCGAAGCATGATATGATGCGATTCAATCGAGGTGTGAGCGTGTTGGTCTTATCTTCTGTTGCACCAAGACCAGGTTCAGACCCACATTCTCTTCTTTGGTAAACTTGTGTTTATGCCACAGAACATGCTTTACTTCGATTGGAGTTATAATTGTTCATGTTATTGATGTATCAAATTATTTGAGTACTGTCACTGTTTGTTCTATTCTATCACTCAACAAATAGTCATATATATCACTAAAGTCTTTAGTTTTACTAATGGAATTCGATTATATATCGATCCAAGGTTTGTGACTAGTGCGAGTGCATCAACCAATCGATTGGTGGGTGATCGACTACTATTGATTCATTAGCGGTTAGTA